CTTTGCTCCCGGTGCCTCTGGTCTGCTGGGGACCGTCTCCAGCAGACCAGGGACACCGGGAGCAAAGCCGGGGAGGCAGAGGAGCGCTGGGGTATAAGACGAAAACCTATCTTTTAACTAAAAAATTAGGGGGTCGTCTTATACGCCCAGTCGCCTTACACGCCGGAAAATATGGTACTCTGTATAATGTAGGGGTAGAATGAGGCTCCTGAACTTCAATAATCCCCCATATCACAAACTTACTTTCAAACAATGACACTCTGATTAAAAACAAATACAATTGTGGGAAGATCTATTTTGAATAAAAAAAGTCTTAATCTGGTATTTCTGTGGCTGTGTTTTGTATCTTAACTTACTTCTAAAGTTAAATGTGCTGTAACTATTTATCTATCTTACTACATTTAAAAGGCAGAGGCGCAAAATCTGGGACCAGGCGTGAGCTGGGATAGCTGAGTCCCAGGTCGTGCCTGGTTCCTTGCTGTGCCTCCCCTGCTCCTCTCCTCACCCCTCCCCCCCACAGAGATGGTGCTGGGGGAACCGGCTTTTAAGTTGGCTTCTATTCTCCCCCCCCCCGCCTCTGATAGAGGCAGCAAAGGGGAAGAAGCGACTAGCCGAATAGTGATTCGACTACCCCAAAATACTAGGCTTATCGGTTACTTCACTAATTACCTACATCCCTACCCCCAAAAGACTTTATACTTTTATTTTTCAATATGAGCTGACTGTACTTCTCGAAAAGCGGGTTTTGGGGATGCCCAGTTGCTTTCTGAAGCTGCTCTTTCACAAGAGTGTGAAGTCTGTCAACCTTCATGAAGAAAAGTCCTTAGAAGCAGGACTCAATCCAAGACTTGTTTAGGATATCCAGAGGCTTTTTAACTGAATTTAAGACTCTAAATTGCTCCAGTGCAAGCTATACGGCTGTTTCATATCATAGTTCTTTTTCAAAAATATGTGCACAGTGCTTCTGCAACCCATACAACAAGAAATCAACGACTGTACTGTAAACTCTTTCTCGGAGACTACACATTAGCACAATATGCTGCCTATCAAGCACCTGGAGACCTATGGATTTGTCATGTGATGGTATTTGGTAAAACATACCTGTAGAATTTGTTACTCTATGTAAAACAGCATACCAAAGTACTTAAAAGAAGTTTCAAAATATGAAGAGTAAATGCATCTTTGTCTATGAATACAGCACTCTTTATAACAATGAGAATATTAATTGGCAGTTATAATACAAAGGTGACAAAGTGCTTTATAAAGCATGGTAAAAATCATTATTCCTATTTTGTAGATGAAGAAAACGGAGGCTGAGGTGTCTGAAGTAACTTTTCAAAGTCACATAACAGCTTAATGGTGGAGTTGAGAGTGGAACATGGGTTTATTGATTCCAGTCCAGGTCCCTATTGGTTTGGATCATGTTGCCTCCAGTAAGATCCACCTATTATGAGGATGTGGAGGGTGCTCAGTAGTGTAGTACTTAGGTATCAAATGAAGCCAGTGAAGGGCATGTCTTAGTGTATCAGTAGTTCTGGTTGCATGAAATTAGTTTTGGAGAGAAGTATAACAATATATTTAGAGAAGAACACGCTTTTTCCCACCCACAGAGGGCAGTGCTTGATTTGTGTAAGTCTTGCTCTCTATCATAATCTTCCAATATAAAATGGTAATTCCAAAGACTGAACAAATCTGAACCAGTTGAAAAATTCTATTATGTCTACGTAGAACACTTCACAAAATCCTGTGATGCTCCCACAGCTGACTTTGGGATTTTACAATGACTAGTCTGATGAATTGCTGGGTCCCACATAACCACTGAGCCATTTTAAAGAAAATGCTTCCTCTGCCATCACAGAAGTGGGACCCATACGCTTGTGCTTGGGGCCTTAGGTAGCTGTCAGCATCTAACATTTTTTAATCAAGGGCCACATTTTCAAATAAGACAAGGGTCTGATGGCTAGTAGGCCCTCACTGAGAAGAGGGCTGAATGTACTCTGGTGGATTTATGTCCTGCACCAGCCTCCTTCCTCAATCTTCTGTTTATAGAATCTACGGGTATGTCTAGACTACATGCCTCTGCCGACAGAGGCATGTAAATTAGACATACCGACGTATTAAATGAAGTGGGGATTTAAATATCCCCCGCTTCATTAGAATAAAAATGGCCACCGTGCTATGCCGGCTCAGCTGTTTGTCGGCACAAACCAGCAGTCAAGACGGGAATCAGTCGACAAGGGAAGCCTTTGCCGATCGATCCTGTAAACCTTGTTTCACAGCTGAGCCGGCACAACGCAGCGGCCATTTTTATTCTAATAAAGTGGGGGAATATTTAAATCTCCGCTTCATTGATTATGTCAGTATGTCTAATTTACATGCCTCTGTTGGCAGAGACATGTAGTCTAGACATACCTTAAGTGATTAGCATTGTTAATATATTAATACACAAAACTTTACCGGGAAACAGAGTTGCAAGGTTGCTACACACAGAAGCCCACAAAAGGCAAGACATTAAAAGATAAGACACTTAACAGTACATACCCTCTATTCCTCCACCCAGAAGCACATGCTTTATCAGTCCTAAAATTATCATGCCCCACAAACCATACACAGCAACTGTTACTCTGCTCTATTTTCACATTTCTGCACATGTTCCTACCAGCTTATTTTCCTGTAGCAGAAGTAGTTGTGGATGTTGGGTATAGTAGGTAGGAGAAGGTAGTTTCGTAAAGGAATGTATGAAGCTGAAGAGGGTAAGGGAAGGCTGGCATCTCTAGGGATAGAGTAATGGCTGCTATCAGGGGGCTTAACTTTTTCATGACCTTGAATTTGTGGGTTTCTACTATCAGTATGGAGTAGCCGCTATTGTTATGTAAGGATATGGAAGTAAGTCCAGAGCCCTCTAAGGTTTTAGAACACAGACAGCTGGAAGACAGAGGGCAGACCGACTGGAAGGCAGAAGCCTCCAGCTGGCTCACATGGCTGTTAGGGAATATTTAAATAACACTAACTTAACTATTAAGCTATTTGTGCCTTAATAAGTACAAATCACCAGACACTGGATAAGAAGTAGGCTGTATATTAATTTCCAAGGTTTTTTCGGTGCTTAATGGGATGAGTGAAGAGGAGAGAGCCTGTGGGGCTAAAAGTGCAGTGGGAGAACATGTTTATCTATCAGCAGCTCTGCCTCCCATACTAGCAGTTGTATACAAACTCTCTTCTGCTGTGGGAGAGAAAATGGATACAAAAGTCCTGGAGATTAGGTCTGGACTCAACGTTGAGTCAGGGTTGATGCGCCTGCTCCTGTTCCCTCAAGCAAGGTTCTAGATCTCCCCTCACAGACCAACCAATGAGGTTTGGGTGTGCCTGTTCTTGCCTGCCTCATCTTCAGTTAGGCTAGCATAAGCATTCCCCTGAATTTAGTGTTCCCTCTAAATTCTCCTACCTCTGAGTGACATGAATTTTCTTGTGCGCGCCAATCTGGAGGTGGTGTTCAACATAGCACCTTCATACTGGTGCACATAACAAAATTCATGTGGCAGGTGTGGGGCCAAGGGGTTCTGAGTGTGGGAGGGAGATCAGAGCTAGAGCATAGGGTTGGAGTGCAAGAAAAAGGGCTCTGGCTAGGAGAATGGGCTCCAGGGTAGGGCTGAGAGCTGGGACAGAAGGTTGGGGTGCAAAGGCTCTGGCTGGGAGTGCAGGCTCTGGGATAGGACAGAGGATAAGGGGGGCTTGAAGTTTGGGGAGAGGTTCAGGACTGGGGGTTGGGGTGCAAAACAGGATACAAGGTTTGGAGTGTGGGCTTTGGGGTGAAGGAGGATGCTCTGGACTGAAGGGGACTTGACGTGGAGCAGGGGGTTGGGTTTGGGCTTTCCTGGGTGGCTCCCTGCAGGGGCTGGTGGAGAGGGCTTCTTTTTGCTGGCCATGGCAGCTCAGTGCTGGGCTGGCAGGGAGGGAAGGGTTCCCCTCTGCCAATCACTGCAGCTTAAAGGCTTGAGGAGAGAGATCTCTTTCTGCTGCAGTCCTGAGCTCTTGCATGAGGCTTAATGGGAAGCTGTGCAGCTTAGGGGGCACTTAGCCCCACACCAATCAATCAATCAATCAGGTTTTGTATGTGTTCACTCTCTCTCAAATAACTAATCAGCTTTTTGTGTTCCTGCCATGCCCCATTAACCAAGCAGGGTTGCATGAGTGCCCCTGGCCTGCCTCCCCTCCTCAGAATAATCAGGATTCCATGCCATGTCATCAATTAATCAATCTTGTGCACATCCTCCCCTCTCACCCTCACTGCTACAATCAATCGTGTTATCACTTACTAGCACTCCATTGATCAGGCCTGCATGCACAGTATATTTACATTTTCAGTTACAAGTAAGTAGCAGCTAAAATGACCAACATTCATTTAAAAAAATTCTCTGTTGCACCTGTTCTCTACAGGATCCACCTCGACCAAGTTTTTGTGTGGCTAAACAATGTAAATAGAACTGACTAGGAGCTTTTGAGTTAGAACATACCATTAAAATACAAAAGCCGCTGGTGGCATCATGGGTCCCTGGGCATGAGGTGCAAAATCTGGGGTTCAGCATCCCACACACTTCTACTTCTCGTGCCTATGCCTGGAGGAGAGGATGCCTGATTCAAATGGAGAGGGGACAAAAGTTTTGGGGAAAAAGTATAATGGAATAAGGAGCCAGGCCAAATCTGGTTGCTTTTTAGAGCATACCAAAGTAACTAATAGTCAGCATACAATCTGCTACCTCAAACTTCATCCAACATCCTTCCCCGCACGAAGAAAGGATGGGATTTGACAGTGGGACTCATCAGTGTTACTGGTTAACTGGAAAGGCTAGTGTTATAGTAACACAAAACAGTGTCTGAAAGGGACAGAGTGAATGTCCTTGCTTTAGTCTTAGTTCTTGGGCAGCCAAGTCAGGGTCAGATTTAGATATTATGAATGCCAATAGAAAAGACATTCAGCTAGGGAAAAAACTGAGTGATTAGCAGATTTACAAGCAATCATGCAATGGTACTTTGTACTGAGAACTGTATGAAATATTTTCTCTTACCAATATTTTCTCTCACTTTTCCAGTACCAACAGATTCAAATACGGTATTATAACTCTGTCTACCCGTTATGTTCAGGTATATATCACCTTTATTTCATTATTTCTTAAGGATCAATATAACATGAACGCCAACAATTGATCCATTTTGTGCTTATAAAAGGGCCTGTGGGCAGCAATAAGAATGAGGTCATCCAAAACCCGAATCCTTTAAATAGCCAAAGTGAACACAGCTGGGGACATATTCTGGTGTGGGTTAATGCCTTAGCTTTTCATCTCCTTAATATTAAAGTCAGGTCATGGTGGTCTTATCTGGCCTTGATTTTTACATGTCTTAATAACACCACTCAATGCAGTACAGTGGGTGTCCTAATCACTATGGTACAGGATATTCTGATATGGTGCTCACTCAGTTTCTCCTGTTGAAGTTGTTCCACTTAATCAGTGGAATGCATAACATTCATTGGGCCAAAGAAAGCATATGAATGACTATCTAGCCTGGTAGTTAGGACACCCATATGAAAGGTAAATGATCTCCCTTCCAATCTCTTCCTCTTCCCAGGAAGAGGGGGAATCTGGATTAGAAATCCCCCACATCTTGGGTAAGTACCCTATCCTCTACAGATATGAGGAGAAAGGACTTTTCCTATTAGCAGGTGCTATTTTGTATAAATTTACCTGAGGGCCCCAATCCAATAGGCAGCTTTTGAGCACGCCTAGAGGATTGTCCCTGCTCCCTGGGCTGCTGTACGTCTATCTTTTCTGGTTTGTGAAGCAGGAACTAGGCATCTGGGCACTAGAGTGAAATTGCTGTGCACATGCCCAGCTGCAAAAACTTAAGACATCAAGTGAATTTAGGCACCTATAGGGATAGGCAGCAGTCTGGTGGGAGTTTTGTGGATTACAATGGTGCTGTGATGGGGAATCTGCCCCATACTGGCCCTAACAAGGGTTAAATCTAGCTCTGGGAGAGGGCTGGGGTTGTGGAGTCAGCACCTATGGCACAGAGCAGCCAATTAGGGCCCAGCTGGGCCTGTATAAATAGGGGATCCTGGGGCGGTGGAAGAAAGAACATACTCTTGCTCTAGCTGTGGAGCATGGAGGACTTAGCTGCCTGGGAAGCTCCAGAAGCTTTGAGAGACAGAGCCATGCTGGGGAAAGACATGGAGGCTGGCATGATTTTCCGCAAATGCTTTTAACGGAAAAGTTTTTCTGTTAAAAGCATTTGCGGAAAAGAGCATCTAGATTGGCACGGACGCTTTTCCGCAAAAACACTTTTTGCGGAAAAGCGTCCGTGCCAATCTAGACGTGGGTTTGCGCAAGAAAGCCCCGATCGCCATTTTCGCCATCGGGGCTTTTTTGCACAAAACAATACTGCGTTGTCTACACTGGCCCTCTTGCGCAAATGATTTGCACAAGAGGGCTTTTGCCTGAACGGGAGCAGCATAGTATTTCCGCAAGAACACTGACAATCTTACATGAGATCATCAGTGTTCTTGCGGAAATTCAAGCGGCCAGAGTAGACAGCTAGACGCAGCCGGAGAGTTGGGGAGCTACAGGGCCTGAGACTAGAGCTTAAGGATATGAGGGCTTCAGGGAAACAGCCAGTGCTGTAGAAGGCTGCAGGTTCACTCCTTTGCTAATGATGAGTGGCCATTTCAGACTACAACTTGCCCCAGAAACAGGGGCTTAGATGACAACTGGCAGCTACTCTGAGGCGAGGTTCCCCAGGAGGAGATGATCCCAGAGTGTGGGGGAGGGACACTCTGCAGGGCAATACTGTGAAGAAAGGACACTGGAGCCTGAACCAGTGCAAAAGACAAGTAACAGAGGATGGGATGCTGGCCAGCAGAAGGTACTCCCAGGCTGAATAGCTAATTCCTGAGGAGCTCCCCCACCAAGCACCGCGGCCATGCGCCAGGGCTGGCTCCGGCACAGCATGCACCACGTGCCCAGGGCCAGGCCAGCCCCGAGCACTTGGCGGGCGCACAAAAATGCCCCCGCGGGCACCATGGCGCCCATGGGCACCGTGGCGCCCGCGGGCACCGTGTTGGGGACCACTGTTATAGACTAACAAAACATGTAGATGGTATCATGAGCTTTTGTGGGCACAGCCCACTGAGGAGATCAGCAGGGAAGAGTTCAACACTAATATGTACCAAAACCACGACTCAGGTGCCTAAGTATCTCTAGATCCCAACCCTTGTGCCTCTCAATTCCTGGGTTCTCACCATCCCTTCTTCTCCACCATTCTTATTTCTTTTCTTTTTATCTGTCATCATTTTCAACGGTATTGGGATGATGACGAGAGCTAGGCTGGGGTATAGTTATAACTGTTAATGGATCCCATGCACCAGTTCTTTGATCTACAGACAATTACAGAGGTAGGTGAAACGGCTTGGTCTGCTAATGGGACACAAAGAGCTCTGTGTGATCGCTTCATTTTCCCCTTCTGTTTTTTATCAAATTCAATAGGGTTCTTCTGTCCATTGATGCCTAGAACATTCCCTGAGGTTTTGTAGTTGACTGAATGCAAAGTTCAAAAGTTATCCTGTTAAACATAGACAAACAGAAAAATGCCATCAAGTAGCATGTAGGACATTGCCGTGGTTGGCTAACTAACTACATTTTGCTGGACATTATCAGCTTCATGCACAGATTAAGTGTTCATAGATACCTCAAAGTGCTGATCATGATTACAGTAGCTCTCCGCATTCCAGATACCTGTGATCTCCTTACCTCAGTTATGATATACATATGAACCAAGATCTCTCATGAGGAAACTCTTACATGTTGCTACCTCTCCCATGGTTCAGCTCAGTAGGTGGTATCAATTGTAATTTGCTGCAGCAAAAATTCCGCAGTTCTGCAAACCAGTAAACAAAAGGAAAGTTAATAGCAATAAAATAGGGAGACCTAGTGGTATAAGAGAAACTTGACAAATGTTTCAGCTATGTGATATATAACTAACAAACATTACCCTGAAAAAGGACATTTTCTGAAGGACTATAATTACATTAAAGGGACATAGAAGCTTGTGAATGTTTCATGGCTTTTTCCACACAAAAAGTTTCTAATGGAGCTTCTTTTCTTATGTCTAGTGCTCTTGTAGTTTTCAACTTCTAAAACATTTCAACCTGTTTCCATTCCCTTTAGTTTTTAATAATATTGTCTCATTTTAGGTAAATGAAGATGACAAATTAGTGGTGTTGTGTGTATTGACACTGTCCAACAGAAGAGGGCACTAAATCACAAAGGCATCAAGTTTCCTGAAAAGTACCACAAATGATCCTCCCAGTACACAGAAAACCTAAACTGAACAATGCAGATAACAATGAATAGATTCATGTTTTTTTCTGGAGGAAATTGGCTTGATTTTTGAAACTCATTGCAGCTTGAAGGAAATGCAAATCCAATTATTCTTTTTCATTCTATAGTTGTAGAAGGCAATTATTTTAAATGCAGTGTTTGGTTTTACATTTGTTATACTATGACTAGTGATAACCCTAAACTGCAGTCATTTTTCCAGACTTGATTGTATTTTGAAGACAGGGTAAAATGGGACTTGGCTCTGAACTATCTTGTGTTTTCTTGAAATGACCAGTAAGGTTTTGTAAAACTAAAATCACTTCAGTTTTGCCCCTTTCCACTGATGGAAACGGGACTGATTTAATGGAATTAAAAGGAGATGAAAACTATGGACACTGGTTATCTATGACTGCAGACAAAGAAGACAAGTACACTATAGAACTGATAAAGTGTTTGAGGTTAATAATTTAATTCCTTTGTAAATATAAAGAAAAGCCTTATTAGTTATTTAATCTTTTTTTTTCTATCTGGTTTATTGTCCTCAGGACCTCTTTTTCTGTACAGGCAGTCCCCGAGTTACGCGGATCCGACTTATGTTGGATCCGCAGTTACGAACGGGGCCCTCTCCCTGGTCTCCAGCAGACCAGGGAGAGGAAGCAAAGCGGCGGAGCAGACGCGTCTGGGCTGTCCGCTGCCCGCGTGTTCCGCCGCTTTGCTCTGCTTTGCTCCCCGTCCACCTGGTCTGCAGACCAGAAGGACGGGGAGCAAAGCGGCGGAACACGCGGGCAGCAGACAGCCCAGACGCACGTCTGGGCTGTCCGCTGCCCGCGTGCTCCGCCGCTTTGCTTCCTCTCCCTGGTCTGCTGGAGACCAGG